CCCCCACCCCCCAAGGCATAATTAATGAACAGTCCCTAAATCACATATACGTTTAATTTCCATCTCCCTATAGAAAAATATTCTTGCCATGACTACTCGCAGACTGTCTTGTAATCGTAATTACGATCCCTGTGATTCATAACCACTATTAATTTTGTGGCTAGGGTGGAAAGATTCCTGTTCGTTGGACGGCACCCGAAGCTATTCGTTACCGAAAGTTTTCTTGGGCGAGTGATGTTTGGAGCTTTGGAATTCTCATGTGGGAGATAATGTCATTTAGTGAACGACCCTACTGGGAATGGGACAACTTCCAGGTAAGGTTAAGAATAATCATACAAAACAAATCGTAATTATGAAGTTTTTGAGTGCCATGATTGGATCTTATAAAAAGGCTTTTTTTTAAATTTCATTTGTGTAGGTTATGGATCGAGTCGATTCTGGTTATCGTCTTCCTGCTCCAATGGTAGGATTTTGTTTTTACCATTTTTTGTTTTGGCTTCCTTAATTTAAAAGCTATCTCGCTCTATTTTATCCGCCTGCTACCAAACCAGCAATGCAACAGCTTTAGACGTCTTTAGAAAAATCCCAGATGCGTATCCATGATTTTACGTGAGAGGACTCGCTCCCCACTAGCCTCAACAAGTCACCCCATTCCTAAAAAAATCGTTATCACTAATCACCACCGCAAGCACAGCAGTTGCGCAGCTCAGCGGGGTCGAACTGAAAGCATGTGAAGGCGCCCTGTAGCCGCTATACCGCAGTACATGTCAAGCGTGACCCTGGAGCACAGCTCTCTTCAGTTTTAATTACTAAATTAGTTAGGGTTGATTTGAAAGGAGAGAGGAAAAACCCTCGTATTCAGAACTTGAGAAATATGGCCAACTTATTTCATGCGGGACTGGGATTTAAAACCCGAACCTCAAAGGTGAGAGGCTAGTGTTTTACCACAATACCATCCTGACATACAAGCTAGAGTTAAGCTGCCAGCTGAAAGGCATAGAGACTCACGGCGACCATAGGCTTTCCTGAGTACGCCCCTAGATTTAGACCACGTCTGAATCCGTTTACTAAGCAATTACTTGATATCTTAGAATTGCCCTAAAGCGATCCACAATCTTATGTTGGATTGCTGGGAAGGTGACAAAGACAAGAGGCCAAAATTTGCAGACATTCTTAAGCGAACTGAAGAGATGATACGCTCCCCGGATAAACTGAAGGATGATCTTTGCACTTCACGCTTCTCCGCAGAGTAAGAACTGAATAACTTTTAAATGTTTTTATTTTTTTCCCTTATTGCTCAAACGTATCGCATCAAGGCATGTGAAGAAGACCGTGTCTTTCAAAATTAATTTAATAGGAAATTACAAATCACGATTCCCCTTTGCAGCAAAGCATGTTCTTGTTTACCATTTTCTTCTTTACTACGCGCTGATCGAGACAACCGTCGCGACAGGGAAATTAGGCAATGTGCTATCGTCAACCACAAGAAATTGTACAGAACCTTTATACATTTTCATTCACAGGCAGTGAATTACCCGATTTCACTGTGTCTCGGTCAGCGCATAGCAATGAAAACAGTGATAAAACGAATATTTTCATAGGATTTTGTCTTTGAAGAGTAGTCGAGAAAATCATGTCATATTTGCTTTGTCTTTTAAGTAGTCCATCAGCAAAGACAAACTTCGGTGAAGTGACATCAGTTGAGGAATGGCTAGACACTCTCAATATGCAACAATATGTTAATAATTTTAAAGAAGCTGGATTATCCCAATTGGACCAAGTGAAGACAATGAGTGAAGAGGATTTGGCAAAGATAGGGGTGAAATTGATTGGACATCGGAACAAGATGAAAAAGAGCATCAAAGCAATGAAAAAACACTTTGATGAACAAAACGACGCCGAGTGCTAATGCGTTTGATCGACAGTGACATAAGGAAGGGGGCATGTTTTCATGAAGATGAGCTCGCCATTTGTGATGAGGACTTCTTTCAAAGGCATGGGAACTTAAACATAAGGTGTGACTTTAAAAATTATTCCCAAAAGTCAACTTGACTACTAACAGAAGACATGAATTCTACCCAACCTGGGATTAACAAACCTTTTGACAAGCAGAAGGAAAGTGCTTCAGAGGATCTGGAGATGGATGTATCCAGTAAACATGTGCAGAAGAAGTGTCCTGTTAAGGGGTCTTGATTCCACCCTTGAGGAGCATAAGTTATCAAATTAATGATTGTATAAAATTAATTTAGCTGAATATCTTTTGAAAGGGGGCACTTGTTTGGCTACATCAAGATCTTACAGTTAACTAAGAAAATTGTGAACACCTAAAATATGTCTGGAATGTTAAACATATTCTGACCAATCACATGCGACAGTTGATTAAAAATGAATATATTCTATACTTACCATTCCAGACATATTTTAGGTGTTCGCAGTTTTCTTAGTTTGACTGTAAAAGTGCCAGATTTGACGTGGTTGAAGATTTTTATATCTCAACTGAAGCAAATTCAAATTCCAAATAAATAATGAACAATTTAATGACATATGAATGTCAATTGTAACGAAAATTTTACCTTGCTTTGAACTCACTACTAGTTACTGAAATGTCCTAACAGTGAGTAGAATCTCAAGTGTTAAACATCAGCATGAAAAAGATGTTTTTTTAAAAAAAATTCTTTTCAATATAGACATTTTTGTGCATTTAACCTTTGAAACTTGCAGGTACAACTGGGTTTTGGCCGGCCTCCCTCAATCACAAAATTCTTATAGACTTTTCAAAATACAGTGATGGATGACCACATAACATAAGGACATGATGCATCTTTATTGACTGTGATGCAGAAACTTGAAAACTGTCTAAAGAAAACACGTTTTTCACTGCAATGTTCAAAAATATGAAAGGTACCGACTGATTTTTTGATTGACAGCAGCAAAAAATCAAATTTTAGTATGCAACTCGTAGACACAGAGTTTACATGTTTATGGAAATTGCAGTAATGTTAAAAAACTAGTCATATTTTGAGTTCAGCAAAAAATGTTAATCACTTGGCATAGCACACAAAGGTTAGATAAAGAAATGAGAGTATTTTGTTGATTAGCCCCTAGATGGGTGTGATTAGATTTTTTTAGGTATTAGATACACCAGCAAGAAGTAGTGTTTTTTTGGTTTTTTTTTGTAGTCTGACTGTTTATAACCTGAGATAAAAGACTCGTAGCAGTTAACAATCAGGCTTACTACCATTATTATAGTGCGACCCTCAAAGTTTTTCCAACAACTGTCAATCAACAAAGAACCGCAGCGAAGAGCAAGATATCAATTGAGATTTTGGACTGAATTTTAGAGGATTAGAGTATTAAAACCTTTGATTTAGTGTAAAATCTCCATCAAGATGGTTTTTTTTTAAATTGCGGTCCTTTGATTGATGGTTGTTAAGTAGTCAGCGAATAAGATATAAAACTTTGGCGGTTCTTGTTTTCTTTTCGTTTACTTTACTGTTAGTAACTAACTTTACACCTTTTTTTCATGGGCTGACTACACTTGTTATAGAGAAAGTTATTGACAAAATGATTTGAATTTTTAAAACAATTTTGATTAGGCATAAATGTACTAAGTATTGTAAATGAGACTGTTTACAAATTATTTTTGAAATAAATAGGAATTTGCACAATGGCGTCATTGAGCTCTGCTACCAGACTCTCTTGCACACTTTCTTTCGTTCACTTAATTAGCACCAATTGTCTTACTATAGAGATAATAAGTGTACATAATTCAAACAAAAAACGACTTCCAGGTCCAAATTAATGATTACTTCCACTGAGATTTTTCTGTGCTTTTACTTCGTAGCAGGATTGTCTGTTCATATATCTAATTGCTGAAGGCAGAGAATAAATCCTGGGAATAAGATGTGGCCAGATTTTTGGGATTTTTCAGTGTAATTGGACCCAGAAACACATAAAAGCCTGATTCTCAAGGTAATACAAATTTTAATAACATTAAATTTTAAAGAAAGAAAATTCGTGAAGCATCTTGGTAGTGGGAGTCAAATGACGCCAGCATGCAAATGCCCTATACTCCTTTTTAAAGTTCTGTTCAGTGACCATGAATATAAGTCGAAGTTTGGGTTGCTCTCTTTTTTTGGATAGCAAAACTTTAATAGGTTATCATGAGTAGCAACTGCAACCTCAACTTTAAACTATTATTCTTGTTCACTGAATGGAACTGTAAAAAAGAAGTATTTTTTCCCCCTTCAAATAGATGGTTTAAATGCTTGATATAATGCAATGCAAATGTACCGAATGTATTTCCATGCAAAAGCAGCAACTCCAATCTCGACTTTAAACTATTATTCATGGCCACTGAATGAAACTGTAAAAAAGGAGTATTTTTTCCCCTTCAAATAGATGTTTTAAATGCATGATATAATGCAATGCAAATGCACAGAATGTATTTCCATGCAAAAATAATGCACATTGATATAAATATATTGAAAATATCACTTCATTTTACTAGTTGAATATGTTTTACAGATTTATTTTACTTTTTATAAAAAAAAATATTAATAAATATTAATTTTCAATTAAAATTATTATGGTATATTTTCAGTATCAATTACATATTAACATATTATCAATAGAGTGCAAACCAATTAATTTGTGAAACATTAATTACTAAATAGTACAAAATAGTGCTAATTAAACGATAGAAAACAATGGAATTTGCATGAAATTGTGTTGTACTCTAATCATTCTGAGATCAAAGAAACTCTAAAATAGTCGGCAATTTCATACAAAATTTATAATCAAAGGAGTTCTAATTTTAACTACATGTAATAGCAGAGTGGAATCAAAAAATTTTCCTATATTTTCTACACATCAATTTTCCTTCTATAAAATAATTTAATTTTATAATCAAAGCACTATTATTAGCAACTAACAAAAGTGAACTTTTGCTAGTCCAGCTGAGTGGTGAAGCACAAAACGCAAAGTCAAGGCTAAGGAAACAATAACTAATAATAATTGTAATATTCTTGCTTCCCCATGCCCCAACTCAAAAGGTTTTTTGCATGAACACTCAACCAGAATATTAAGGAAATTTTGCTATTGAAAGTTTAATTCAAAGACCTTGGTGTAAGAATGGGTACTAGCAAATTATACATGTAGGACAATTCCTGGGGAAATACTGGAAGATATTGGACTAGCATCCTACCCATTGGGGGAGGAGAAGGGGAAATTAGTATTCCTGATAATAATATAGACCTTTTTGACTTGGGCTTAATCCTTTTCCCACATCAATGATTATTTGTTTGTTTAAAGTCACATGAATAAGGATACAACTAAAAAAAGAATCTTATCCTCAAGAGAATGACATTTGATTGAAACGGGAAAACAATACATTTTAAAAAGAAAAGAATAATATAAAGTAAGACACATTGCTTTAATAAGAGAACCATAACAAAAGAATTTAATTAAAAACATAAAATATATTAAATATAAACACAAGAATGTAAGACAATTATTATATCCTTTCCAAAAGAAAATGCTTAATTACAAAAGCATGGATTCCTCCAGATTACAAAACAGCTTACTGTATCTCAACTCATTACCCCCCTCCCCCAAGGCCTAGCTTTTATCAACATAGCATAGAATACACAATTTAGAAAGCTGGGAAAGAAGTAGTGTGTGCTTTGTCAGATATCCCTCTCTCCATGTTCAGAACCTGTAGACCATATCTTAGGGAATGACTTCTGTCTAGTAAATCTCTAGTGCTTTGGTGATCTGGAGAATATCGTCCTGCTCTTGATGCATCCTGAAGTAATCATTCCAAATCATTAGAAAAAAAGAAATCAAATCATGATACTCAAGGGAATGACTAGTCTCCTAATCAGCTGTTTTTCATATCGGTCCCAAAGCGATCAGGCAGATATACAGTCAATTCAAAAAATGTTGTCGTCGACCAGCTCAAGCCTACGCGACTGGACCGAAAGGAACTCTGGGTAGCAATCATTGAAGCCGAGTTGACTCCATAATTTTATCTGACTAGTTATGCCTGGTTTACAGCACGAACCTTCGTAGGCGAGCGGGAAGTGTCGAAGGAGACRTTYTTTTAATGCCTTCATATTTTCGAAATTGTGAACTGAATCATAACTACTTTGTTTTTATTTCTCTAAACCCAAAGACATGCATTTGATGAATTGTTTCTAGCCATTATTATCTTATTACTAGCAGGAACAATTAATTCAGAACGAATATTTAACCACTTCAGTGATTTTTACCCATATTCCTTTCGGTCCAGTCGCGTAGGCTTGAGCCGGTCGACGACAACGTTTTTTGAATTGACTGTATGTACTGTATAACACGTGGTATGAAATTGGCAAATCCGTCATGGTACACACAGTCTAAAGGTACTGTATTTTTTTAAAGGGCAGTGCAGGTTAGGCCATGCTTTGTTTGTGGCAGTCTTCTTTGTGGTAAATATTTGTTTTGACTTTTGGTATATCAGTTCCAATTTTGAATTTCACAAGATACATGTACTGTACGTTGAATAAAAACCCACAGATTAAACTTATTTTCAGAGAATCTTGCAATATTATGGTATCTCTCTCCATACATAAATGCTTACCAATGTTTCTCTAGTTTTGTGTAGAGATGCCTTAAGATCTAGGGAAGAATGTGAAGGTACTACAGCAGGTTTTGAGCTCTCCCAGCCAGCCAGACAGTGAGAGGACAATCCTATGGAGTCTGTAGGGTCAAAGCTCACCCTTCTGTGAGGTTTTACCTTGTAGGGAGACATTAGTGTGGACCTTGGTACGCTTACTCTGTAAAATGGAGACACCATACCTTTCATTACCAATCATTACTTATCAGTAGTAAAATGAGGGGTGCTGGATGCTCAAAGCAAGACTTTGCAAGACACTTCCCAGGTTGAACATCTTGTTAAGATCATATTAGAAGATTTTGTCTTATGCCCTCCAAGATCTTGAATACCCAAGATCTTGTAAAGATCCTTGATTCCAAGATATTGTTGTTTTTACATTGTAAGATCTAAGATCTTAAGATCATTATAAACTTGCAAGTTTTTGGCAAGATCATGTCAATAACCTAGCAAGATCTTAACAAGATCTAAGTCAAAATACTGTGTTTTAGAATTTACATGTAATCCAAGACTTTGGGTCATTATTTTATTAGTGAAAGCTTATGAGAGATTTACCAACATGCGCCCAACCTTTCAAAAATTGTGAGACTCTGAGACAATGATTCCAAGGGAAATATCGAGACTTAGGGTGCTTTCCATTAAGCAGAACCAATCAGTCTGAGCGGCTAGTTCTTTAAGAATGAACCAATGCAACCTGAACTAGTCCTAAGAACTGGCGTGTACCATTTGAGAACTGGCTGCTCAGACAAATTGGTTCTGCTTAATGGAAAATGCCCTTAGAGATGGAAATAAAAAAGACAAAATTTGCGATACCCTGTTTGGGACCATTCCAGCACTCCTATACTATGATGGATTGTTTGTGAAGTACCTGACATAACTTCCTTGTGTTTCATATTCAGGCTGAGGTTTAGTATAACACACATGACATGACTCATCAGAGCTGTGGATCCTTTCAGCAAACAATCTTTCATTTAATTTGTAAGTATTTTCACCTTAAATGTTAAGCAAAACAATTTGATTACGACGTGTCAATCAAGAGAAATCTCAACTAAAGACAGTCAGAATGGGTGGTAAATAAAAACTTATAAATATATGCACCACCCGGCCCACAAAAAAAGCAAATTCAGTTAGCCACACTGGAGGATGTCTAAGACCACTAAAATCATTGTCAGCAATATCTTCATCTGTTTTTAAATTATTTCATTTTATTAGTATAGTATAATAAGTCTGACAAGAAGACCCCTTCAATTGTTTTCCTCAATAAAAGTAACTCACATGAATAGGATTCTTTGTCTTCAAAGTCTTCATGATCCTTTTTCAAAGGTGTAATGGAGCGATATGGCTTTAAACTTGGTCTGTCAGTAGAAACTCAGATTGTAATTATTTGCCAAAAACATAAACAAAAAAACTTAGATCCCTTGGAATTAAAACAGTTATATTCTCCTGTTGGTTAATTACTTTTAAGATTCTGATCGTTAGTTTTCATCATTCTTTGGTTTACAAGAATGTTTTATCTTCTGATTAGCTGAGAGCTGTCAGTTAACTCAACTTAGGTCACTCCCTGATTATCAAATATTGAACAATAATACAACCATAAGTACATGTATTTGAGAGTTTGATCACACAACTTACTCTGATATTGTTTTGCTATAGCATTCATCCTTGTTGACTCTCCTAAATTCCTTCAAGTCATCAAAAAAGTCATCACTCTTCTCTGCTATGTATGACGTGTTGTCAAGGATACCAGCGATCCAATCATAACCAAGCATTGATCGTCTGTCTAGATTATCATCAATAACATTTCTGTTTTCATCTTCTATATGTGGAGATGACTGGAAGCTAACATGAAGCCCTCTCTTTGGGGTCTAAATTGATACAAAAATATATGCAAAAAAAGTAAAAATATAGACAGGGTTTTGTTATGGGAGGGATGCTAAGTACAGTACAGTACTACTTAATGCAAAGCCTAAATAATTAAGTAATGACCAATATATTATTACTTATATATTACTGCTGTAATATATACATCAGAGTTGTGATTGAATACAATTTGGCCCTGTTACACATTAAAACTTTCAATATAAAATAACTGTTATAAATCTCGCATTCTGATTGGTTGCATGTGAGTGCTTTATGAGAGCACACAGCATGGACGCGCACTTTTAGTTTTGTCATTCCTGTAATCTTTAATTATAAAAGAAATCAAAAACTTGCTTGCTGTGCTGCTGTGCAAGTTATAAACTGTTTATAACTGCACACAGCACACGTGCGTTTTCTATTTCTTCATCTGAAAACTGTGTGCAACAGGATTGCAAGACAAGTTTCGCACTTGTTTGCAGCACAAGTCTTGGCTGTGAAAGTACACTCTTAATTAATTATAACCAATGCTACAGAAACTTGTGTCGAGTTAAAAGTTTCATAATAACATTTCGATATAGTGCTCTCAGTTATACTATATGCATTTCAACCAACTATTAAAAGTGCTATAGATAACATATTGTGGTAGCTAGCCGTTAAGGACATTCTTATATCATCAAATTGCCCTTCATTAATTGACCAACATAAGTAATACATTCGACCGTTACAAAGCAAATAAAAAGCATTATTAATTACTTTGACCTTTGCTCTGCCTACATACATGGTTTTGCCTAAGATTTTAGAAGGGGTATGACTAGAGCATTAGAAGTTATTCAGTTTATACATGTCAAATTTATGTACAATGCTACTTTGTTTTGTTTTTTCACGCCTTACCATATGGCAATTTTTTTTTTTTTTTTTTTTTTTNTTTTTTTTTTTTTTTTTTTTTTCTTTTCATTTTGTCCTAGGTATGGTAGCAACATCAAACAAACACTGTTTTTATAAAAGACGCTTCATGGAAAAGACGAGCTGCACGAAGTTTGAACTGAAAAAAAAAAGGATTTTAAGCTCACCTTTTTTGAACGGTTATTTGTGGAGGTTCGAAGAATTGAATTTGGCGTTAGTTCACTACTGTACAAAGTCCTGTTCCTTCTGTCATTGCCAGACTCACTTAAAGCGTCTCTGTAGCTCTTTGGTGTACTAGTAGCACCAGTCGAATAATCTGTTTTTCTATCTAAGCGTTGGACTGAAGAAGGAGTTCTATCCAAACCACGAACAGTAAAGCTCGTTTCTTGACTCAAATCTGTCAAATATGCGGATTTTCTTGCTTGCATTTTCTTCAATATGGACCGAATTTCTTTCTGTCCTTGTCTTAAGTTTCTTATAAGAGAGTTGTTAACATATTTTAGCCTTGAATGAGGCGAGTCTGTTGTGTTGACATAAAAACCATCCGCCATTTTTTTCAAATTTCTGTAAATATTTACTTAACTCGACCCAGACTTTCTAAAAGAGAAAGCACAGGAAACCCACAACATGATAAAACAGGGGGGCCTGGCGTAAGTGTTAGCTTTATTATTACTTTATATCACGAGATGATAAATTTTGTTTGTTAACCTGTTATTTTATGTTGTGGAAGATAAGAAGGGCACTATCTTTACCTTGAAAAAATTCTTTTTAAAAGGTACCCTTTTTCTTATTTTATTTTACACTTGTGTTTATTTTTCTAGAGTGGGCTACCTGGGGATTAGACGCGCCTGCCAAACTTCCTCGGGATCAAGCGCGGGAAAAGTTATTTCATAACGAAGCAACTACCTTAACAAGCGGTGAGTTTTTAATTTTTTTATAACCTGAAATACATATATTTTAGCCGCAAATATTACTTAATTGAGCTCTCTCAGTTTGAGATGTGCTCCGGATAAGCTCAAGTGCCATGTCAAGGATTTTAGGGAACTCAGTTTTGTAGGAAGTTACAAAACTTTCTTCGAAGTCATGGTGCCGAAATCTTCTCGTGAGAGGCTGCCAAACCTCCAATTTTCCTGCTAAAAATACGAAAGAAAATCCTCTGTTTTGAGTCTGATAAGGCAGCCGTAGTTTTGCTGTTCGTATTATTTTCACAAAGGAACGTTATGAAGTTCATTTATAGACGGACAAACAATTTTGAAAGTTTAGTCATCCCCAAACAAACCGCGATTTCAGGGTGTGTTCATAGTTAACTTCCTTGACGTAACCTTTGACCTGGCAAACGAAACGTACTGCCCCTACAGAAAGCCTAACGACCAGCCATTATACATCAACACAAAGTCGAATCATCCGCCCAACATAATCAAACAACTACCAGACGCCATCAACCGTAGAATATCCAACATATCCTGCA